CTGGGGGGGAGGGGGGGCACATGCATGCATGTGAGTGTGTGTGTGTGGAGGGGATGGGTATGTAGGGGGGTGGTGCCTGCTGGCACAGGGGGAAGCTATCTGGGTGCTGGGGCTGCAGCAGAGCAGAGGAGGCACCTACTCCTTCAGTTAGGGAAGGGGTCAGGGGGTTTGGGGGCAGTAGGGAGCTGCATGGCTCCAGTGGCACAGGAGCTGGTGCCCTTGTTCACAGGGGCAGGGCAGCTGGAAGACGCTGCAGGGCTGTTGGGGGAAAGGGGGCTGCAGGTCAGGAGTGAGGGGCACCAGCAGGACTGGGGAGACTGTGGCTTGGGAGTGAGGGGCACCATGGGGGGTGGTGCACTGTGGGTCAGGAGTGCGGGACGCCGAAAGTGCCAGGGGAAGGTGAGTCAGAAGTGATGGGCACTAGCATGGCCCAGTTGTTTCTAGGGAACTGCAGGTCTGGAGTGAGGGGCAGCAGTAGGGCTGGAGGGGGCTGTGGCTTGGGAGTGAGTGCAAATGGCATGGGCAGGGGCAGGACATCGATATATCACTGCCCGCCCCACAATCATATCCCCCTGCGTGACAGGTGTCCTCATTTTTGGAACTGGAAATATGGTAACCCTAGAGATGAAAGAGCTTGTAAGTTGTGGAGAGAGAACAAAGAACTTAACAGAAGAAAACTGGCTGAGTCTCAGGATATGGGCAAAAAAGGAAAGTGCATGCATGTGACTGCAATGACAGGAGGCTGAAAACCAGCAGCAGGGGCTGGCTTCATAAAAACACCTCAGATCCAGCACTGGGAGAGGAGACAATTGAATTTTGCCAATGACCAACATGTACCCTTCCAAATACAACCCCCACCCCAAGAAGAATGCACGCATCTAAATAATGATGCACTATTAGCTATTCCCTCAAAAAAAATCTTAGGTCCAAAACTGCACATCCCAATAACTTAGAAGTTTCGAAAATTGTCTCTTTGCATAACTCTAAATATATCATAATTAAGCAACTCCTAAAAAGAAACGTCATTCTCAAATATACGTATACAGTATATAGAAGTGCAACATTCAAAACAAATACAGGCAACTCACAAAGCAAACTAATGCATGTACCAAATAAACCTCCCCCTTCAAGCAAGTGTGCTCCTATCCATCCCAAAATTGTATGAACCAATGCATAATGAATGAAAAACAGGAAACTTTAACTCCCCTGCATACATCACACACCATTTAAGCACCTTCACTTAAAAAAGTAACTGGCTGTGGTGCCAGGCAACCACAATTTTGAAATAGTAATCCTTGTTCTGCCAAGACATCGCACTGTCGCAGCAAGGCACTGCCCATGGACACTTCAGTGCATCTCCATCCTCACTTCCCTAGAAGCAGGAACTCTTACTTGGAGAGTCATTCTGATGACAGTGGCAGCAACAGCAGCAGCAGCAACAGCAAACACTTCTCTCTGAGCTGGAATACAGCACTTGTATGCTCAATCCCCTCAATGCTATCCGCAGCCCCAGTTATAATCCCAGGCCACACAAAAGAGCCTGCACTTCGCTTTCCTCATTGGACCAAGAATAAAATGACATCATCTCTAAGGGCTGGTCTGCACACTGCACCGACTGAGACTTGGGAAGCAGCAAGGCCAAGGAAGCTTGTTTGTAGCAGGAGCTGGATGCAAAAAGCAGCTGGTATTTACTAACTCGTCCTTTCTGGCTCTCTCAAAAGATGTACTGCAGCCAGCATGTTGATGACTAGCAAGGATAGTGGCAAATAGTTTTTCCCGCCTGGTTTTATGATCCCTTGTGGACAGAACTCAAAATTTGTTTCTTTCTTTAATTCCTCATCAGAAGAATAACTGCAAATACACATTGGCCCATTGCTCTGTATTCTTGAGGGATGAACGCTGGCCATTGGAAAAGGCGATTACAACATTCATTAAAACATTTATGAAATAAACATTTCTCTAAAACTGATCTGTATTAAAACCTATCTATGTTACAAACCTTCCCTAACTTGCGTCCACTTGTCTATCTGACCTTAGAATTAGTTTTCCAGGACAGGGAGCATCTTCAAAGGCCATTTTACCTGATACACCTACTCAAAATATGCATTATGTACAAAATCCTATATCTGAAAGATGTTAAGGTAGCAAAGTCAGGCACTTGAAAGTTAGGAAATGCCAGACTTTAATTTGACTCTGAAAACTTAATTTTGTTCCCTTATGCATTACAATATAACCTTTAATTACATGACATTATTTTTCCACATGATTGTTGTCTCATTTAATAAATATGATGAATAATGCTCAGTGTGAAATCTCTTCCATACATTCACTCAGTCCTTGATTCTATAAACAGTAAAGATTAGTGGCTGCCCTCACAACTTCCCTCCCTTCTAATGGTATAATTTTCTCATTACTGGTAATTCACACTAACAGCTTCAGCAAGTCTCCAGTCTCGTTTTTATGCTCAGACTGGTAGAGGTCTTGTGTGAGTTCGTGCCGAATTATATAAGGACTGAATTAAGCACAGGCTCAGACCTGGATGTTCAATTTAAAACTTTTATTGTTTCACAAAGTCATAAACTAAGGAGGTCTGTTGGTTCACGAGGTTCCCAAATCAGGCCCTTGCTTTCTAACCCGAAGGCTAGGTGCGGCTGCCCGATTCAGTAGTCTCAGAACTGGTCAACAGCTCAGGTAAAAGGAGTCCCTTATCTTTTTTAAGACAAAAGATACAAAACTGTCCGCACTCTGCTTTGAGTGAGGCCTCTAACATACTTTTTCTATTACTTATATATGATAACACACATACATATGCATTTCTAATTCTTACCTCTACTGGTTACTAGTTAACCCATCTATATTATAATATTTTTCATACTGCTTTAATAATACGCGGTTATCTTTCGTCATTGCGGTTTAGCCATGCGGTTTCCGTAGTTCACAATAGAAGCTGCGTGCTTGCAATTTTTATCAGACTGTCAGCATTCTTATTCAAGGGTCAGATAATGATCACCAGAATGTCAACCGTTGACTTCTCAACCTCCTTGAAGCATTCTGGGAGTTTTAGTGCGTTGGTAATTATGCTAGGCCTTGCTTAGCATGAGCACTATCTCACAGGTCTGCTGCTCAGGCTAAGGTTAGGGAGTGCTGAAGCATCCCAAGCTAGGATGAGGGCAAAGGTTAGAGAGGGTTTGGGGCTGTGTGTGGGTGGGACTGCTATGGTTCCCCACCTTTTCACTTGCTAAAGTAGGGACCAGTGCAACAGAACATTCCCTACTAAGATTTCTGATGCTAGCTCTTCTTAAAGCCATATTTTTTGTTTTTTGTTGCTGCTGTCAAGAGGTCATTTCTTTCAGGGATGAATTTGTGGAACTGAGCACAATTTCCTGCAGCTGTCTTTAATTCAGAGTGTGACAAAAGTGTCAGAGTTTTATATCTCATCCTATATCTCTGGTCTATCCATCTAGTTTTTATTATGGAGAACACTCTTATTAAAGGAGCATTGGTCACAAGCACAGCTAACACAGCCTACTGTCTTTGGAAGAGCTGCAACTGACAAAGAAATTGACCCACTTGGGATCCACAGTTTGGGTGTCCTGGAGCTCTGCCATTAGTTCACAGGGTACACATGCTTTAGGAAAAACTTCCTCACTAGAAGAGTAGTAAAACACTGGAACAGGTTACACAGAAAGGTTGTGAAATCTCCTTCCTTGGAGATTTTTATAAAGCTGGCTAGACAAAACGTTGGCTGGGATGATGTAGTTGGGAATGGTCCTGCTTTGAACAGGGGGTTGGACTAGATGACCTCCTAAACTCTCTTCAAACCTAATTTTCTATTATTTATGATTCATTTTTAGATATTCACAGAAACTGCAATTTTGGTTGGGCTCCACAAAAAAGCACAGTCTTAGCACTTTTGGCAGTCTCACTGAGGAAAAAAAAAGGCTGAAAGAAGAGAAAAGGGTGGGAAGCCCTGGAGCTCTGAAGCACATGGGGAAGGGGGAGGAGGGAGAGAGAGCAAATCAGAGGCTGAGCCAGTGATATAGGCTCAGTCTGAGAGCCAATCCAGAGCCAAAAAGGGAAATGGGAAGGTTTTGGAACCAGGTTTTAAAGCGCCTGCAGGCATGCTGTTACAGTATGCTGCACCCTGAGGAGGAGCAAGGATGATGAATTCTAAGAAATCCTCCAAGGTACCCAAATACATTTCAACGCTAGATAGTATGAGACAGTATCCTGAAGGTACCTTACGCATAGATGGAGGCAGACTCTTCTGTGCCACCGACAACATAACTCTGAATGTGTTGAGAAAACCCAACGTAGATCAAAACTTGAAAGTTCAAGGCATACATGAAGCATAAGGCTGTTGCAGAGGCTGAAGGTCAGAGCAAGAAACAAGCAACCATGTCTCCTCCCTCTTTAAAATTACCACAGAAGGCAGCTTGGCAAGGCAAGAGGTGGCATTTTCCTTTGTGGAGGTTTTTGCAATGGCGAACATCCTGCTAGAGAAACTTGATCACTCAAACTTAAGGGACTACCTGAATCAAAATGTGCCAGATGCTGGCAGCTTTCCACATGCCAACAAGCTTCAAAAAGACTATCTGCCTGCATTGAGTGCTTTGCATGTACAGTTAAAAAAGGCTGCCTTGGCAGCCTATGACTCCTTATCCATTGTGGATGATGAAGCACACAACCCTCAAGATAACTAGTTGCTGCTTAATTTATTTGTACTGGAGAGCTGGACAGACCGGGACCTGCCTGTTTCAAACTGAGCTGGTCCACCTCACATCTGTCCATTTTTCTACTGTCTCTCAAGCCATTGTGATGGTAATAGTCAGCTATGACATAGACTTTAACAAGATTTCAGCATTCTTGTCTGACACTGCCATGTACATGTGCAAAGCTGTCTCCGATGTGCTCCAAGAAATGTTGCCCAATGCTGTTCATGTCACCTGCAATGTACACATTCTGTCCTCAGTAAGTGATATACGGTGCATGCAGTTCCCTGATGTGGCTAGCCTGGTGCCCTCTTTCAAGAAAGACTTCCAGCACTGTCCAGAGTCTGTTGCCAGTCAAACTGGGGGCTCACATGACACTGTGCCGCTGCCACCAGAGCCTGTGCTCACAAGATGGGATTCGTGGTTCAACATGGTCCATTACCATGCCAAACATATCTAGCACTACCAACAGTTTGTGGAAGAGGAGCTGAAAATCATACCCAGCAAAGAGTGTATGCTTAAACTTCATGATAACTTAGGGCAAGGTGACAGTCAGGATCAAATGATGTTTGTGGCTGACAATGCCACCAGGTTCACGGACCTCCTGCCTTTTCTGAAGGCCAGCTGGCTGTGATCCACCACACACACAAGCTGCTGGATTTGATAAGCTGGACTGAAAACATGGTATTGCAAGAAATGCCAAACTGCCCTCATGAAAACCGCTGGAGAGGAGACCTGTTCCAGACAACAATTGTGAAGCTGAACCAGCAGTACAAGAATGACCCATCTGCCCCTGTGGTACAACTGCAGTTCAGACAACCGGCTGCCCCCTTCCTTAGTGCTGTTCACATTTTGAACCCCAACCAGGTGCCTTTTCTGAGTTGTGATCCTCAGCTACTGAAAGCAATCCTGGGATGGGGGAAAGAGCATGACAATGAGTGTTGCTTACATGAAATTTGTCAGAGTGCCAGATGCTTGTGTTCGGGGACTCTGTTACCAGTTTCCACATCTGTACATCCTGACAAGTTGCTTCCTCACCATTCCAACGAACTCAGTGGATGCTTAACTTGCTGTCTCAATGTATCGACAAGTGTTCACCCCACAGACAGAAAATGTCTGCAGCAACTGTGGTTGGATGCAGCATGCTCGCATTTAATAGCTAGCATGAATTGCCTGTCTCAAGGTTACCATCAGTTTCAGGAAACTCCTTTTTAAAATGTCCTTTGATAAAGTGTATATGGTTGTATTAGTTGAAATTTATGTTGTGTATAGCTTTATTTATATAACATACTTCAGTTTAGAGGTTAATTAAGTGCTTAGATGGCACTGGTTACAATTTAAGGTGTGCATAGCTTTATGATAATTCATTTTAGAATTTAAGTGCTTAGATTGCTTAATAACATGTTGATTAATGGCTTCTGTGGGCTTAATCCCCTGATTAAGCCTGAGAAAGCCATTAATTGATGCGTTATTAAGCAATCTAATCAGCAGTTTGGTGCAATCTCCAAATCAGAGGATGTGTGGGGCTGTTGCACTCAGCCATGGTAGCCAGCCCTGTGATCTGCCTGTGAAACCGGCCAGCTGATCCCATTGCTTGTGTGCAAAGGAACACTGCAGGAAAGAAAACCACCCCTTTGCTTTCTGCACTGTAACCCAGAATGGATGTAATATTACCACCTTTGTGTGTGAGTGAGCTTTGTAACATCCATGACAAGGGCAGTGTGGAAATGGGAATAACAGGCTGCATTGCACCACCTTCCGAAGCAGTCTTCAGGTGGTACAGGCATGGCCCAAGTAATAGATGCTATTCTTCACGCATTCAGTTCATTTAATTTAAATGCAGTCTGAAGAGTGTAGGCAACTTCTTTAAGCTCTGGTTCACTATGAAACCAAAGATGTAGTCTCAAAGCTTCTTCTACAGATTGGCGCTCAGATTTTTCACCATTCCATACATACCTGTTGGCTAGTTGCATGACTTCAAACATTTTGACTGCCATGTGAGAAACATTCATGTAGCTTTGTGCAAAGTACAAGCAGATTCAGGAAAAAGAGAGGCCCTTGTCACTTGCCAGCTCATTCTTGGTTAGTGATAAAGTCCCATATTGATGTGTGGCTTTTCTTCCCATTGAAAATTAGTCACTAGTATTTCAAAAGGATGCTAAATTTCTCATTTTCCAATGTTTCCATTTCATTCAGAACTGTATAAATCCAGTTGCTTATGAGCATCAGCTGTTTAATCAAGGAAACTAACACTGTTGAACAGTGAAAAATACCACACAACCAATAGGTAATATTTAATTTTGCCTTCATTTGAAGGGTCATACCTGTAAAAAAATGACCTGTCTTCAAAATTACCCAAAGGCAATTTGATTGAATAAGGTATCCAAACACTTCCCATAAAATGTCCAAACTTTGTTCTTCTGCAGTGATTTTTTTATTCAAGTTGGAATTAGAAATACTTTCAGTCAGATTCATCCCATAGTCAAGCAACAAGTAGCTGTGATAACATGGTACCACAGCATGGTACCATAGTGCCATAAGCTGTTTTAGCAGCAATGGCACTATTATCAGCAACGTCTCTGGTTTTTAATAAACAATGATGTTGGAAGTGTGGTGCATTGATCTGTTTCTTGATTCTTGTTTTGCAAAGCACTTTATAAATTGAAACTGATAAACTTTTCTGAGTTACTTCTCTGGAGTGTTGCAGATATCCTTCCCCCCTAGCTCTCAAGTATAGGTTCACATGCTTACTCCTCACTCATGGAACCAAAGGCAACACTTAGCAGTTGTGGGGGGTGAGGCTGTGACCCACCTGGATAAGCTCAGACCAGCAGGCTCCTAGGCTACTGGAGAGAAGGAATAGCAGCATATGCAGTGCAGCAAAGGAGCCAGAGGAAAAACCCAGGAGTTGAGGGGTGGGGCCACCACCTAACCAGATCAACCAGCATTTCTGAGAAGCTCCTGAAGGAGCAGAAACGTGCAACAGCAGACTGGAAATTAGCCTGAAGAGCATGAGCAGCCTGTTGCATCAAAATATCCAGAATGCTTGGCTATTTCATCCAACCCCCTGCCAACCCAAACTCAAAATAAGAGACAAATGAGAGAAATATTAGTGCATACAAGGGAAACTGCTGGGACAGAAAACACAGATGGAGCCTTTTGCTGAAATAAATCCTGACGCCCGAGGCACTGCCCACCCCGCCCCGAGCCAGGCCCACAGAAGACCCCGGTCCCGCTCAGGCATGGCAAAACACGCGGAGGTGCTTGGCAGGCAGGGCCGCACGGCCGACCTCAGCCCAGCTTCAGCCTAAGGAGTAACCCACACCGGGCGCAGGGCAAGTGTGAGACGAGCAGAGGGCCGCGCTGCGCCCCCGACGCTGGGAGCTGAGCGGCCCGTCCCGGCCCCACAGGGCGCCATCCCCGGCGTCGGGATGAGAGGAGCCTGCAGCGCCACCCCCGGCCGAGCCGGGACTTGCAGGACTCACGCGCAAAAGCCCACAGCCAGCACGCCCTCCCCTCCATCGGGATAGGACGGACATGCACGTGAAGATTCGGAACGGTGAGGAAGTGACGTAACCTTGGGGACGTAGCACTGCGGCAGGAAGATGCGCGTGGACGTATGGGTTTCCGGTTCCGGGGTTACAGCGCAAGGGCCTCGAGTCAGGAAGAGGCAGCAGCGCATGGTGCGGAGTGGCCGTCGTTCCTTCCCTCCTGGCGTGGCGCCAGGCCCGGAGCGCGGCAGGAGGAGCCTTCTGCAGCGCCCGGTACAGAGTAAGGAGGGCCTGGGTTTGGGCCGCCTGGCGCTGCCCCATCACTTACGCGAGGCGGGTCCCGGCCTCAGCGGGAGCAGCACCTGGATTGGAACCGGGAGGGGAACGAGAGCGAGGGGCGGGGGGACGTGAAGGTGCCGTCTTGCAGGCCGGGAGCGAGAGACCCGGCTGGGTGCGGGACAGGAGCGGGGAGGAAGCCGCAGAGGCGCATAAAGCAGCAGGTCGTTAAAGGCAGAGCCCGTTGGTGACCATCTGCTTTTTGTGTGTCCCTCCACTATTGCTTTCTTCCCCGTCTCTGCCCAGCACATCAGTGGGTTGTCTCATTTACAGCCTTCAAAATGGTACCTTCCCATTTTTACCCTGCTCCATCGCTGGTTGTCATTTCCTCCTGACTACCCCAGGTATATGCGCATAGCCCCTTCAGCAGGAGAGACTTTCTCCCCTTTGGCCCCTCCTGTTTTTGGGGTGGTGCAGCCACTATTCTCTGGCCACTCATCATTGCAATAATAATCCCACATTGCAAAAATCTTTGAAAAATATGTAAACGGGTAGATGTTTTGAACAATATACACGGCTACTGTTAACCATTTTTTAATTTATATTGTAAGCAACTGGTGAAAATTGATTTCCTAGGGAAGTGTCAATCCCATGTAGACTAGGAAAAAAGATAATTGTGGTTTCTCTGTTGAAACGTTTACCCCCATTCTCATGTGTCCGTGTAGAAGTGGCATAGGCTTTGTCTATATTGCAACGTCCTGATGACTTGGCTGTGTTTCATGCAGCAGGTGGGGCCAGGGCCAGCACATGCTCTGTGTGGTGCCAGGGGTTTGGTCCAAGATCCGCAGGTTGGATCAGGCTTGCGGGCTGGATCTTGGACACAGTGCCTGTGATGTAAATAAAGCCTTAATTTAGAGAGGGCACTTTCCAGTTGTGTGAGCAGATTGTGTTGTGGCATTAAATAGGAGGTGAGGCTAGAAGATGTGCAGCTCCAGGGATCAGGAGTGTGCAGGTATAACTGTCAGATGGGATTTCCAGTTGAGTTAAGTTACCTTGAATGAACAACCAGGGAGAAGCAAGGGTTTTTTTTTTTTTTTTGCTGTTCATATATTCTTGTACTGTTGTGGCTACAACACTCCAAACCTATGTGAAAAACCAACCTTTTTGTCAGTGAATGCAGGACTGTAATGACTCATGAAATGATAATTTTGAGAGAGCATGCATAAACTGATGATACTTGGTCCTTTGAAGTGTGATTTAAGATCTGTATCTGGCCTTCTCCATGGAAGGAGACTTATGCTTCAGTAATAGTGGATTCTTATAGAAGACCATGGTCCAACCCTCTTGACCTGTAGGAGTATATTTACTTTCAGATGAAGTTGTTATGATTTGAATTGGATAGCAAGGAATAACAGGGTAACTTGGACATAGTCACTAACTTCTGAGCAGGTATTCAGTTTGGGTCTCCAGCAGACTTTATACCAGACTTCAGAGCAGGTTACACACCTCTTCGTTGTTGTTGTGTGTGTCAGTTTACTAGTGTGGGTATGCCTACCCATGCTACAATTACACCTTTGTTTTCTGTTGGTATACCCTTGCTGTCATAATATAAGGGTAAAAATTAAGCATTTTCTACACATTCTAATTTAGTTTTATGACTGTTACAGATTAAGAGAGTAGTCAGAGCTGTGCCTAGGGTGCGTGGGCTCTGGGGGACAAGGGGGGTTATTGGGAGAGTGGGAGTTGAGTGGCCGAAGTGTGTAGCTGGTGGCATGAAGCGGGGCCTGTATGGCCCTGTTCACAGGGCCTGGAGCAGTCGCCCTGATTTGCGCCCCCCTCCCCCACTCCAGGGACAGCCCTGTCTGTAGTGTTTCCAGTTGTTTTTGTTCACTTTCAGGTGAGTCACTTGGGTGCAAATGTCAACCTGTTGAAAATGAATAAGAGAGACACTGCATAGCCAAGTATTTTGTGAAGGCCAATGTTACATACATGTGCCTCTTGAGTTTAATTTTGTTTTAAGCTAAGCAAGTAAGAAATAAGGGCCTGTTGCATGCTCAAAGGGGGCCCTTCTTGTGGACCATTTGCTAATAAGTTCTCTCTTCTTTCATCCACAGCTGAACTGCTAAAGCACAAAGCAGTATCAAGATGCCTATAGTGAAGGCAGGGGGTGGATCAGTCCGTAAAACAAAGAAAATTTCTGTGAAAACTTCTTTAAATAACCCATATGTTATCACATGGCGTACTCTAGAGGGAGAAGATGTACACTTTATACTACAGACCTTGGAAGAAAGGATTAAACACACTGGACTTAAAAAGATTGAAGTTGCAAGCAGGAAAAAAAGTTCTAATGCAATAAAACAAGCGAAAAAACCCTGTGATACTAGTGCTAGTGAACTTCTAAAGGAGAAAGAACAGGAAGGCACTCAGCAAGGGTGGACTGACTTAAATATCAGGAAGCAGCTTGCTATTGGAGTTAATGAAGTCACAAGAGCTTTGGAAAAAAATGAACTTCTTTTAGTGCTGGTCTGTAAATCTGCAAAACCTGCTCTGATCACTTCGCACCTTATTCAGCTGAGTGCAAGTCGAGCAGTTCCAGCTGGCCAGGTCCCACGTCTTAGTGAAAGCATAGCACCTGTTCTTGGTTTAAGCTCTGTTCTAGCACTGGGCTTCAAAAGGAACTCTGACAGCTTTACTGAAGTAGTAGAAGCTATAATTGCCAGGATTCCTACCTTGGATGTACCATGGATTCACCATGGAAATGAGCAGTCTGTGCCAGATGCAAATAGTGGTTCTCTGGAAATACAAGCTTCTGAGCTTATGGACACTTCAGTGGAGGAGTTCTCCCTAAGCCAAAAGCGGAAGCATACTGAAAGTTATACACCAGATGCACCATCTGTAACTTTACAAACCCTCAAAGTTAAAAAGCTTGTTCCAAATCCAAGTAAGATAAGGAAACCCCCCAGAAAGAAAAAACGCATTTCAAAATAAAATAACTCTTTCAGGTTCTTTCATTAAGGGTGAAGTGACTTTATTTTTTAATGCAATGTGAGAAACTGCTGTCTGTAACTAATACCCTAACAATTTAATTAAACTTAAAGATAGCAAGCCATTTGACCAATGCAAAATGAGATCAACTACTGTATTTACACAGTTGTAAGACTTTTTTCCTATTTAGAAATTAAATTGTAAATCTGTGTAAATAGTGACTTCTAATTAGTGTTTGGAAAGCTTGGGTTTAAGGATGACTATTATTAAGTACTTAAAATAAGAGAGACAGTTTTGTACAAGACATGCATTGTAACAAGTGGCATGCAAAATTAATATTTTAAGGAAGTAATATAGTTTGAACAGAAACTATGGCATTAAATGTTACTATTCAAACAAAGGAATATCAAATTTGAAGTTTATTCAAACATCCATGCTGGTATGAACTTCTTGTTTTCAATTTGCTTATTTGTTCAATGCTGGTTTCAAGCAAATATCTGTAACTGGTAGTGTACACAGACTTCCCTAGATTTGTTCTGGTCAAGTATTGCATGCAAAATTGGATTTTATATATATTTGGCTTCTGATGTGCTAAATGAAAACCATGTATTTCTCATACACAGACCAAGATAAAATACTGCTTTGTTGCAGGAAAATGCATTTTAAAAGACTTATGTATGCAAGCCACAACATTCTCTCACATAGAGCTACATGCTAAATGGAAATTAAGCAAATGTCCAAATTTATTTCTCACAGGGAGTATCTAGAAATTATTTCCAGAAAATTCAATGTATGAAGTAAATGTGCAGATGAGAACATGGACGTGCGCTTCATACTACATGTCATTCCATGAAGCTGGAAATGGTCCCATGCTTAAACAATTCCTAATAGTAAATGCATGTTCTATTTAATTTCAAGAAATGGCAGTATTGTGCAGTAGAATTAATATGAAATGCACAGTTATTTGCTAAAATCATGCAATGATAGGGAATTCAGACTGATTTGACTAATCTCAACCAAATTTGAATAATTTACTTAAATTTCATGTTTTACTCAGGAGCCACTAATACTACAAAGCCACTTAACATAATGGAGATTATTCTGTTCGTTACTTTTAAATAGAGATGGAACTTCTATGCTGTGAAACATTCCATAGTGTGCTCACCCCACCAGCTAGGTTATCAGTATTCTGGTTTTTGTAAAATGATGTTTCAGTTAGGGACAGTGACTAAAAGGAAAAAGTCAGTAGTACTGACTCCAGAGCCCTTAGGCTATCTGAAAGTTAACAGACTAGCAGCTAAATTCTAACTGCTTGGGGGTGGGTGTTGGGGAGGGATGAGCAGGGGCTAATGATTTCCACTTCCTCTGTTCTTCAGGGCTGTGGCTCCTTGTTGACTTGTTACTTACAAAACCAATTGACTAAGTAGCTTCCAGTTCATGACAGGGATATCAAACTCGTCTAGCCCTGCACACAGCACTGACCCCACTCTGGGGCCTACGCTGCATCTGGTGCATGGGCTGGACTTGATACCATATGTAACACAAGAGTGTCTAGGGTGCAGGTGTCTGTGCTGAACTGGCTGCGTGCTCTGGGGCTGGTCTGGATTGGGCCCCAGAACAGCCCTGCGAGCTAGCTCCAGGAGCCAGCACTTGGGGCCAGTCTGACACAGGCACTGCATGCAGCATGTGCTGAGCCAGGTTCAACCTATGCACCAGCCCAACTCTCCACACTGGATGTAGCGCACACGGTTGGTCTGAGCTCCACAAGCTGATTTGTAGGGCTACACAGGCCAAATCTGGCCAGTGGGCTAAGCTAAAATGTAGAAGTTTGGTCTCGGAATGTAGTCACTTTCAACCTAGTGTAAATAAGGGCAATAATGTATACTTTAAAATGAGATTATGGTTAGGTTTTAACTGAATTTGCTTAACACACATTAAAGTACAAGCTAAACAAGTTCTAGTCTAGGTGATGGCTTGCTCTATATACGCTTAGACTTTGCAACATCTAACTTTTAGGCACTTTGCTGCTTGGTGGAATCCAATCCCTTAGGCATCCAAGCTCTCTTGTATAATGCTGGGAAAAACTGAGTGAGAGGCAAGGATTTAAAGTGATATCTTTTATTGGACCAACTGTATAGTTGGGATAGTTAGACAAGCTTTCAAATGCAAGATCAACATCAACTTGGAACACCCCCTAGCCCATTCTGAAGTATCTAAAGGTCTTATTCTCTAAAGGCCTAAACTTCTGTCCAGAGGAAAAAAAATCTGACAAAATTCTAATATAGGAAGAAATAGAAGTCTTCTGCAGACTTTGCCTGGAAGAATACTTCTACAACCTTGCCTCTCACATAATTTCTGGACCACCATAGCTATATCACTTTTATATTACTTGGGGGAAAAACTGAAGCACAGAAGAATGAAATCCAGAAAAGCCAGGCCTGCGTGGTGAGACATCTAAGCTGGCAAACTGGAAACTGTAAGCATGAGCATGTGGTGTTTCTGTTCCTTTGTGGGATACGATAGTGGGAAGATGGGAGATTAACAGCCCTGATCTGTCTCCTGGAGCTAAGGGTAAAGAATTTAAGCTCCCCATTTTATGCCTGATGCCAGCTTTAGGTGCCAAGTCCAAAACTGGGTATGTACAGGATTGCCCAGTCTGAGCAGCTCAATGCCTAGTTTAAACTTTGGCTTTCTAGGGAATGCAAACTGCATTTTTCTGTCCAAGCCCCCTCACAGTACACTTAAGAACCCAATCGGCCTTAGATTTTACAACAGCTACATTGCAGGCATTTTATTGCTTAGTAAACCCCAGTTTAGGCCACCCTAGGTAATGCAAAGTGAAAGTAAGCCACCTTAGGATGGAATCCACAAAAGGTAGCATAGAATGAGGAGCCACCTAAAACATCACAATATGCCCCTGCTGCTTTTGAAGAAGAGTTTAGACATCAAGGGCTAGATTCAGATAGATAAGATGCCACACCTTTCTAGAAGTCTGCCAGAGAGTGTTGCTATGGGGGGTTGCACATGTGTGCATATACATATGTACATGTGCATAGGTATAATGAGGTGTTAAAGTGCTCTGCCAAGTGTGAGCCAGACAGGCTAGAACTTTCTTTTGATGGGGATACTCATAGTCTTTTGAAACTGATCCTGCCAAGTAAAACACTTAAGAGCCATTGGGCCAGAGACAATAAAGCATGACTCAAGTCTAATGGTTAAAGCTGTGTTTGGAGCCCTGTCACCTGGTGATTTCTGACCCAGCCTCAGTATTACTCAGTATTTAGTATTGCTAGCTCTTTGGCTCTTCCTGCTCAGAATGTCTTGTTCTGAAGTACTTAACTTCCCTTCCCCCCCCCCCCCCCCCCCCCCCCTCCCC